AATGGGGTGAACCCTATTTTAATTCAGTGAGATCTACTTCATTTTCGTCGAAACTTATAGACTCACTACACGGCCCTTCGTCCTCTTCGTTGAATTCGACATAGGTTATCCTTTTATTCATATTTACCCTCACTTTTTCCTCTCTCAAACGTTCCAAATGTTGAACTCTAACGGCCAACTGGGAAATATCCCTCAAGTATTGAGTATCTAACTTCTTTTTGATGGAATAATCTAGGCCACCAGCAGCCCTTTCGACTAACTCATGCCTTGGTATTTGTGTGAAACACCTTGCTTTAAGAAGCCGAAATCTATTCAAATAATCATCAATTGGCTCAGTAAAGTTTTGTTTTATACTATCCAATTCCTTCAAACTAATCTTCGTTTGTCCCATGTAGAATTGTTCATGAAATAAACATTCTAACTGGGCCCAATTATGAATCGAATTTGGAGATAAGGTTATGAACCAAGTAAAATCGTTTTTTTGTAAGAGAACTTGGGAAATAATTAACCCTAAGATTCTCATCATTCGAAATGTCTCTCACTTCTATCAAACACCTAGCCACGTGTTCGACAATAGACTTTGTGGTATCCCCAGGAAACTTAGTGAACTTGGGAACTTTTGTTCTCGGGGGTAAATCTATCTGGAGGATATACTCTGATAATGGTGACGTATAATTTGGCTGTCGAAGGCCAAAATTTACTCTGTTACGTGCCATGGTTCTTTTGACCATGGAAGCCAAATTATTGTCTGCCGCTAGATTGTTACGTCGAACTTGTTGTACGACATTTTCAACATCCTGGTTTCTATTTACCAAAACTACCCTCAATTATTCTTCTCTAAAAACTTGTGGTTGATTCCTAGGAGGTTCGACTTTAGGTCGTTCGATCATTCCCTCGTTATTTTTATTTGTTTGAGCCAGATTTTGTGGAATTTGGTTAATGGTGTTGTCTTCGTTGAAGACTACCCCTTGGTTTTCTATCAGATACTCCCTCGGTGGTTGTCGAGGGGGATTTGGTACACCCAAGAATTCTACAAGGCGTGTCATTTGCGCTGCCAATTGTTGTTTTGTTTATGTAGTATTCTGAATGAGGGGCTGCAAGATTTCTCTCATAGTTTGAGACATCATTTGAACCATTTGGTGGTTACTTTCTTCCATCTGTTGTCTCAAATAAGATGAAGAATTGGTTGTCAAACCTGGCATCTGGGCTAAATACCTTATACCTAAATTTTGACTATTTCGACCCATATTTACCCCAGAGCCATATCCCTGTAATGACGAAGTCATTACGGGTTCTGTATATAATGGAGGGACATTTTGTAAGTTTTCCATCAACGAAGTTGGCATTCGATATGGCGGGTCTTGAGGCAAAGGCATTGAAAACCTAGAGGGAGATATGCCTCTAAATGTCGAAGTCCCTACGGTGATGGGGTCTGTGGATGACCCATTGGCCCAATGTAAGTCAGAATAGGCTGCATATGGGAAATCGAATGTGTGGGCATCGAACTTCCCATATACGGTATTGCTTCAGAGACAGGCGTTGAGACTGTTGTTCCTCCTTTCGAATCCCCAATGGGTTGTTCTATATTGTTATTCAGGATATCCTGAGGATTATTTGGCTGGTTTAAATTCATCACCATTGTCCTCCTATATCTCCGTTTTGTTCTATCTTTGTTAACTGTGGCTACCTTACCACTTCTTAATAACATGCAACGAAGTTTTTCCCGAGAAAAAAAATTACCACCGAAATAATAAAATTTTTTCCAAAGAGAATTTTAGAAACAATTTTTTATGATTGCTTAGCACTGTCCCACTAGACGTGCCAATTTGTTCGCTATGAAAATTGGTGAACAACCACTGGTCTTACAAATCGAAAAGAGATCTATTTTACTTGCAGGATCGACCATACAAATCCTAGGACATGTGCTAATTGATCTTAAAGGAAGTTTATGAAACTATGAACATTTCGACAGAGTCCATGCTAAAGCGACTTATTTCAAATGTAAATCAATTTAAGTGATAGTAAGTGAAATCAAAATGTTGATAAATGACGAAGATAAGAACTTGCATAAAGAAAAGATAAATTCTTAAATAAAGAGATTTATCAAATTGCATTGAAATGAAAACTGGTGTTTAGTCAACGTACATTCTTACAAACTCGTTTCTCTCAATCACACAGATACTTGGAGTATACTGAAGATTTTGTACATAATTGAAGACACACAAATCTTAACACTAAGACCTGTTATTTATAAAAATCAAACGTAACTGCCATTAACAGCTAACAAATGAAATCAAGACAAGTGTCATTGTGCATGCCTTCGAACCATAGGGGCACTCCACGTGTCTCTCTTATAAACGTACTTTCTCTCTTTTATTTGAATTTAAACGAACTCGTTGAAATACCTCTAGCAACGCTTCTATCGAACCAGGTCTTCCAACTGTTGAGGAAAATCTCTAAGTCCATAACATAAACTCTCCTGGCGAAAGGACACCTTCAACTCTCATTTCAAAATATGGCTCTAGTCAAAGTAGTAAGATTTCTTCAGGAAACTCTATTTATTACTTTTAACTTCATTCAGGCGTCAAAATTAGGAGCCAGCAGGTATTACCACTTCTAAAAACATCATCGAAACTAACATTTTGCTTATAATAGGAGCGGTTACTCAAACGGGGGTTAAAGTTCCTGCACCACGAACGTTCATTCTGATTGGTTGCTCTTTTGTATCTAGGGCATGGTTTTGGGGAAGGGAAAAATATTTTTGTTCATGGCATATCAACAAGAGTTTTACTACTTCTTAGACGCATAAATACTCAGACATTGAAAACATTTCATGTATGGAGAACAAAACAAGTAATTAAAGTACAAACACTTTTTCGTAAAAATTTGAATTTCTTACACAAAAGGGTCCCACTGGGCGCGTCAATTTATTTACCGTTGTTTTGGGTAAATCAAATCATAAGTTTTTGTTCACTTAAGGGATTAAACTCGAAAAAATATGATGGACAGCTTATGCAAAACATCTTGATGAAATGTGTTTGTGCTTGAGTATTATTAATGATTGAATGTAGAGAAATTGAATAGGAATCCCAATAAGAAAAATGCATAATTGTTCTAAGAACTAAAGTAAAATGAATAGCACGATAAAAATGATTAAATAAACATGCTTGGATTAAGGAATTAAAAGAGACACACAGATTCATACATGTTTTCTCATAAACTCTTTTCTCTCTGTGACTTGGGTACACAAGTTCTATAGAGAATACTAATAAAAATTTCAAACCTTTATTACATGAATAAAATCGACTGAAACCAACTTATATACTAAATACAATAATAGTTGTCGATAACAATTACTTTTATGGGACTCGACTTGTATCCTACTATGTGGGATCTTATTTTTTGATAAGTTTCCACGTGGCTTTGGTCTCTGAACTACCTCTTAAATGGTCCTATTATTGAAATCGTCTTTACAAACTATAATTACCTCTGTCGAATCTTTGTAGTGTTTTTTCGAAATATCCCTTGATCATATACTCATTGGACTTATGAATATACTAAGTCCCAAAACTTGATAGGCGGATCAAACTCACCACATTTATAGGACACTTTCATGTCGAAATGTTAAACCAATACAAACCTTTTCGAGTTTCTGAACATATTCTGAAGAGAGTGTGATCATAATCTTGTGGGTCTGTTCTTGAAATTCTTCCAAAGTAGGCTTAATGAATTTCAACACAGTTTGAGTCAAAAATCACATACTAACACCCACATTCCCTTATTTTTGACATTTCACTGTTTGAAAATTTCGGGGCGAAATGTTTGTCCTATAAAAAAACAGGTACAACATATAACCTTGCAAATATTAGGGACACAACTTTGTAATAAAATAACCATTGCATACATTTGGGACAACAACTTTGAAATAAAATAAGCATTGCATACATTAGGGACTACATATCAATAATAAACAAACAATGACAACCATTTAAGTACCACAATAGCATAACATTAGGGGAAACGATGCATGTTTCAGACATTAAGGGGGATACGATACCAAGTAAAAACATATGCAAACATTTTGGCTAAGATTCAAACAATGTAAAAAGAATTGAAGAGAAAACCATTTACTTGGATACATATGTTGGGGTCGACATTTTAAACTCAGAAAAAATCACGAAAACGAGTTAAAGATGAATGAACGATGTATATGACGAACAAACACATGAGTTGATAACGGAATGTAGATGATGAAGGAACCATGAGATAAAGATGCACGAGTTAAAGGGGTGCTAAGTTGAAGACCTTGAATGTTTAGTCAGATGAAGATTAAATGAGATGAACAAGTAGGATTCGTGTTTTGTTTTGGGAAAATGAAAACAAAGAAGATGAATATTTAAGGGTTAATCTTTTACTTTTAAAATGAATGAAGTGATTTTAAAAATATGTTAAGATAATTTCAAAATAAATAAATGAATTGAAATAATTTACTAGTGAGTTGACAATAACACATCGGTAACATGAGTGCTAAGTTATTAAAACATTCTCTTAGATTTGGTGGGGATTAAAATCCTAAAAAAAGTAGACTAAAAATTCAGATTTTAAAATAAGAGACTAAAATCGAAAATAATAATAATAATAATAAATCAAAATTACAATTAAACCAATTTATTTTGTTATCAAGTCTATTCAAATCCTACATAAATTTCTTTTACAAACTCTGAACAAAAATGTATTTATCAAATTCTAGACTCCTTTTCTAATGAACATAACAATTAAAAAAAAGAAAGAAAAAAAGAAAAAAAACTGTTAGAAATGGAGACAATGCCAAAAATATCAAAACATATTGATATTAACAGAAAATTTTGAGTTTTCAACAACATTTGAACATACTATTTAAACATCATATTTCTTCCCGATCTACCGTTATTCAATTTCAACAGAAATTACAGTTACAATAATAATGCTAAATAAACTAACTCTTACATGTGCAACGTGCTTCAGAATGCCGTTAGCGAAACATTTTTCCTATACTTATAACAAGCTGGCGACGGTAACGGCACAGGCGCTTGACGCATCTGCAAAGGCGATTTCAACCGCTGAAAATAATCTACAATATCCACACCATCCTTTCCATCGGAAAATTTCTCCAACGATAAATCTCCGGTGATTTCATCTCTGGACGGAATGAACGGCGGCCGCACCACCTTCGTCAACATTTCCCAATTAACCCCTCTAAAGAACCGATGCTCTTTGATCTCAATAGCGCCACGTGAATAACCCAATCTCTTCGTAGGATCCTTCTCCAACAACTTCTCTATCAAATTCGTCAACTCCGTCTTCTTTCCAACGAACTCCGGCGACTTCATCAGAACATTTCTAAACGTTTCCTTTCGATTCTTCCCCTTGAATGGCGTCCTTCCGTATAACATTTCGTATGTCAGAATCCCAAGCGCCCACCAATCAACAGCAAACTCGTGGCCATCACCGTGAACGACCTCTGGCGAAACGTATTCCTCTGTTCCAACGAACGAGTTGGATCGTTCACCGTTTGAGAAACTCAGTTTCCGTCGACTCACCGGGCTAACTCTTGCTGACATTGTCTTCTTCAAAATCAAACCAGTCATCCGGTGATGATAATATTGAGAAGATTCCTTTGGAAGAAGCTGGATCCAGCGAGAGAAGTTCCGTCGGTGTTTTCTAGAAGCTTCTTGAACCTTCGAATCAGGCAAAGAGAGAGTAGAAACAATGTTGTTAACGGTTTTGGGTTTGAGCTTTCGAGAGAGGTCGAAATCGGTGAGGGTGACGTGGCCAGAGCGTTGGATAAGGACATTTTCGGGTTTTAAGTCACGGTAAGCGATGCCCATGGAATGAAGGTGGTCGAGAGCGCAGATGATTTCAGCTAGGTAGAATCGAATAACGGTGGGAGAGAAAACACGGTCGTTTTGGTGGTAACGGAGGACATTGAGATCTCCACCTGGACAATAGGGTAGCGCCCATGCAAGAAATTGTGGCGATTCGTATATGCCGAGAATGGAAGGGAGAAAAGGGTGGGAGAGCATTGAGAGAACTTGGATTTCCCAACGGGCACGACGTTCGGCATCGAGTTTAGCGTGCATGGAGGTTTTGTCAACGACTTTGAGAGCGAAGAGGTTGGTGTTGTTGTTGTTGTTGTCGGTGTTGTTGTTGTTGTCGGTGTCGGTAGTGTTGTTGGTGGTGGTGGTTGTGGGGTGGCGGATGAGGAAGACAGTGCCCATGGCACCTTTACCAAGGATTTTGAGGGCTTTAAGGTTGCTAAGATCTAGCTCCAACAATGGTGGAGCTGAATCCATTTTGGTTTTAATGGAAGGAGAGGAGAGAATGAAGGTGGAAGGATTAGGAAGAAATATGGTTTTGTTGGTTGGTATATGGTTTTTTATAGCCTTTTCTTTGTTTTGGTTTTTACTTTTTTATGCTTTTTATTGTATTTGTTTAAGGATATTCTTTATTGCCTTAAGATTTCTATCTTATTTTGCATTCAATTCTTAACTCTACAATACGAGCAATTCTTACCATGAGATAATCACAAAATTTATATGAAAACATTTATAAAAAATACTTTGGTCACATCATTTATTTTAATTTATTAAAATTGAGTATATCCAAACATTTTATTTGAGAATGTGTCTCTTGTGGAATCATTGTAATAGAAAAGGCTTTGATAGAAAATGTGATTTGGTCATAAGTTTGATTCTCAAAAATATTAATTTGACGATATGAATGTTTTCTCACAATTATTAAAATTAATTGAGGAGATGTATATGTTGGTGACAACATTTCACCACGATTAAAAGATACAACCTTTGTGAATTCCATTGATTTTTTAAAAATATTTTCCTTTTAATTGTTTTATATAACTTTATTATAACTTGTATTGTATACCATATTTTTAAAAGAATAGAATATGACACCAATATGTACCAAAATGTAGAATATATATATATATATATATATATATATATATATATATATATATATATATATATATATATATATATATATATATATATATATATATATATATATATATATATATATATATATATATATATATATATATATATATATATATATATATATATATATATATATATATATATATATATATATATATATATATCAACTTACTCCAAAGCATTGTCTTTAGATTGAATTTAATTTAATGGTTAATTAAGTAAAAAAAATTAATTACCCATTAGATTAGATACATTTCAAATGCTACAATTTGGAGTAAGTTGATCCCCAATATATATATATATATATATATATATATATATATATATATATATATATATATATATATATATATATATATATATATATATATATATATATATATATATATATATATATATATATATATATATATATATATATATATATATATATATATATATATATATATATATATATATATATATATATATATATATATATATATATATATATATATATATATATATATTAATTCTGCATTTCCTCTGAGAACCATATGATCATTGTCAACTTGGTTTTGGTGATTGTCAACTTGCATGTAATATATAAAATACCTTATAGCTGCCTCCTGTGAGAACCTCATAGTTGCAAGTAATATATAAAAGGTATGTTACATCAAAACCAACATTGCATACATATTACAAGATCATTGTTAACTTGGCTTATAAATCTCATGCAAGCAAGATGTCCAACGTGAATAGATGTTTAGTAAGTTTTCTTCTGTGAATGGTGTCTCATTGTTAAACATCTATAAGTTGAATGAAATGTAAGAACACTTAATTAGAAATAATAATAAACTATTATGCGGTAAAAGTCATATGATCAACAATGTTGATAGAGACAATGTTTATCACATGTTTCATGACATAAAATTCACATTTTGTTCATGATAAACACTTTTGGATAATCTCCATGAGGCGAGTCAGGTGAGACCACAAATGAACTGTGAATTCGGTGTTACTTCACACCACCTTTTCTCCTTACTGGGAGTCCTTTTTATACCCGTTTCACTTCCAAAGATTATTTAAGATGTGTCCCTTCAACTTTCCTTATTAAATGATTATGGTAATGTCCGTTGTTGTCATTGTTGTCATGTAACATTTTCTTTATCACCTTTTATAACATACATGCAACCATGGAACAGTCTCATAGTTGTTACACTGACCGTACACATCACTGTCCTTCCGAGAACCATATAACCCGGGCTCCTGCTTGTGTCACATATAAAAACTCGGTAATCATTTACTTTGGATAATCACCCGGCATAGGAACTCGATCACAATGACTAATAGCTCGACTTTTTAGAATTTTAGAGGTGCCCCCCCCCCCCCCGGATCACAAGACCCAAAGGGGTGAAGTGTTCGGACAGAGAACCCAAAATTATCTCTTCTTGAATGTCCGTATTTCCATTCGGCTTGGTTTAATCCAATGGTTACCTTGTGGATTATTTAGCATGCGATAATGGGTTTTTAAAAGTAATAATGATGCATGTCTTGTCATATCCCCTCTCTCTCATTGTCATGATGACTTTTATGGGGAAGGTAATTGCCATCATGACTTTAGCTCGATAGGGTTTCCGAACCATTTAAAATTTCTTTCCATAAAACCCTAACTTTCCTTGTTTCTGTTCATCATTCTCGACCCCCATTTTCTTCAAGATCTTTGTCTAGATTTTTGGGCTCTCTACTAGTTTCTTGCAAGCACAAATCTCAGGTATTGCTTCTTTACTCTACTTGCTTTTACTTCTCAGATATTGCTTATTTTATCTACTTGATTCTACTTATTTCTTTTATTATAGATGTAATACTGGAGTGTGATGATTCGGGAAATGTACTGATTTCCCTCAATGCCCGAGAGAGAAGTAAGCTCTTGGACAAATGCATAAAAGAATGCAAGGGCCATTTGCAGCAAGTAGAATTTGATCAAACCCTTAAGGAAGTTTATGGCGACATTTATTTACTTTGTAGTAAAACTGGTTCGGAATATTCATCATCAGGCTCTATGGCCATTGTGATAGAGATGACTAGGTCCTTTATTGATAAAGAAGTCTTAAGCTACAATCACATCATGATTAGTGATAATGATTTTTCTAAACTTTGATCGAGCAACTAGATTTCTTCAACTAGGAATGAAGAGGATGTCATGCTGGAACCTTGCGTGGCAAGTGAAAGAGTCTGTATCACTTGACCAAAGGGAGTATCAGATGAATATTTTATTTTTATTCAGGGGTAAATGAGGATTTCAAGATCCGTATCTCTTTTACTGATTTTAAATCTGACCTCCTAAAAACCCATAAATATCGCCCCTTCTCAATTACGCTCGAATGGAAGGGGATTTATTAAAGCCTTTGAGATCTTTTCTTTCTTTGAGTTAAAAGGGGAGATCAAAGAAGGTTGGGTTTCCCATTGTGCAATCCCAGGGAAAAGTTTCCTCCAAGCTCAGTGAGAGCTCACTCAACGAGTAGAGTTTCACCTAGCGAGAGTGACAACGCTGCCTTGCTATTTTTATTGTCGAATTGTCAGCCCACTTCTGATTCTAGTGATGGTTGGTTTTTGTTTAGGTGTGTTAAATAAGAGAATTTGGCATGCTTGAGTGAATATATGATGTGAATTGTTAATGTAATCATATAAAAAATATCATAAACTGTTCTAAAAAAGTCTCACAAAAAGTGTGATAAAATATATGACAGTAGATAATTTCGAATAAGCTAATCCAAACAGAGTTTTGATAGCAATTTGAGTTCTATTAAAACCATAATCCTGTTAGCCTTGAATTTCGATGCCCAGGTGGAAATGTTAGGTTTTTGAGTTAAGACAACATTTTCGACTATGATTATGTTGTGAGGATTTCGACCAGAAAACAGACGATTCGACAGACAAGAACCTTTGAAGTTTGAATTCGAATTCTGGAGGGAAATGTAATTATTTTCCGCCATTAGAAGGAGGCATGTGACATTGTTTCAAGTAATCAAAGCATGCAGAGTGACATTTGTTTTAATCTAGTCCATTGAGTCATTAGGAGCGGTTATTTCTACCGATTATAAATAGTGGCTCAATTTAGGATTTTGTGTGTGTGCTCATTTTGTACAAGTCACTCAGAAAATTGCTCAAAGTATCCAAGTCAAAGAGAGAAAAGAGTTATAATTGAGAATGTACATGTCGGAACACCATCTTTTATTTTAATGCATTAAAGTTTTTCTTTTCTTTTATAAGAATCTTCCTTTACTTTACTGCTTTCATGCGAGTTATATTTTTTGGTCTTTACCCTTTGCTTCGAATTTCTATCTTCTTCGCCCCAAACTGCTTTCATTTTCTACTTGCTTTATTGCCAAAACCTTTTTTATTGTTTTCAATATTGTCGAAGTACCTATCCTTCACTTTTAGATTTCATTTGATTTTAAACTCATATTAGTTATGTTCTAGGATTTAGTATGGTCGATCCTGCAAATTAAAACGAGTCTTTAAGATTTGTTACACCAGTGGTTGTTCTCCAAATTTCACGGAGAACAAATTGGCACGCCCAGTGGGACAGTGCTAATCAGAGTTTCTTGTAAAAAAACATTTTTTTTAGAGATCCCTGCGTACATATTTCATTGTATGCAGTTAAGAAGTGGTAAGATAACCACTAATAACGAAACTCGAACTAAGAAAGGGTATACTAGGAGAATGACATCCAATACAAATCAGCCAAACACTCCCCAGGATCCATACAATGGTAACGATAACACGGAGCTTCCCGTGCCAACTTCGGCAGAAGGGCAAGCAGGTTCTTTTCTGTTTCTGAAGCAGTTCCAACTATATGGACTTTGATGCCTACGTATTCGATTACTCATATGCAACCAATTTTTGTTAGACTATGGCACGGATCTAGAAGGGGGGGTTGAATAGATCCCCAATTAAAATTTGAGTTGGCGCTACCAATTTAAAATTGGTTTTAAAAATGTTTTAAGTGCGGAAGCGGCCGAGGAAAAATATAGTCTAAAACGAACGGTTATTGGAAAAACCAGATATACGTAAGCCTATGGATTAATGACAATTCGGAAAAATTGAATCACAACACAAACTACGATTATCAAATATTTACTTCAGTTGTAAGGATTCCTAGTTCCAATGATTCAAAATCAAATCAAAACTAGATACACAAGTAAGATAATTTTGGTTCAAGCAATATGTAAAACACTTGGTGTGCAAAAACACTCCAAGTGATGTTTATGTTGAGTAAGTGATTTTAACCAGCCCAGTACAATGTATTGTTGTACTTTAGAGTTAAAAACAAAGTTTTAACCTCTTACTCAATT